GTTCTCATTTATAAACACGTAACAAAAATAGATAATAATAGATATATGTATATAAGTGTATATATATCTATTTATATATCTATACGTATTTGTGTATACATTTATATGCGTTTATGTACAATGATAGATATGTAAAACCTAACAAAGTAGATAGATAATGCGCGGCTGTTAAACTAATGTACAAAGCTTTTTGTCGCATCAAAATACTTCATTATATCTCGACGTGAGCAAGAATTAATCGACGTGTATGTATTTCGCTCAGGCATTTCCTTGATATTACTGTATAAAATGTACTGTCATTTCGTTAAAAATCTTAGGCATTCCCTTGTCTGACAACTTTAAATCATATTTGATACATTATTAAAGTACGCGAATTATGTACGTGTTTTAGGACACATAATGTGTCATACACATGTGACATGTATATATTTCGCGTGGATAGTCATATGGATCTCAAGTATAAAATTAGATCAACTCGTTTTAATTGCACTTTATACTTTGCTACTGTGTTTTATGCTTTTTTACTTTTTAATTTGCTTCTCTCTCTTTTTCACTTCATTAAAATAAATGTAATTTAGCTACTTTGAAACTTAAGTGCAACAAACTCTGCATATAAATACTAATTTAAATCATATATATATATATATATGTATACATATATATGATTCTTATTTTACATACGAAATTTAATAATTGACCGAACTAAACTAGGTGAAATTCTATTTAAAAATTTGTTTTAAATTTAAGGTTAAAAAGTTTTTACGAAAAAATTTCATTATATAACTGGATTTCTAATTGAATGATTTTTTGAAAATTGTTTTAGGTCAGTTCAATCCTTCTAAATAAATACCTATATATTTTTTGACCGAGTCAGATCCTCCGCATTAAACCCATCAATTATGATTCAAGATTAATTTTTTTTATTATTGAAATTTAGAAGATATTCACAAAGAATTACTGTAAATTTTTTAATTAAAACTATGTTGATAACCCACTCTTGGCGTTATCTATATGACATTTCTATGTGTGCTGTGTATCATAGCATTTTTAAGTGTAGTGGGTTCAAATTAATGAAGTCACATGCTCTACTTTGACTTTTGATTGGTCATTGTATTCATAACAATTCCAAACCTCTATCTGTATGTATACGTATGCTCGAATCAAAGTTACTAATTTAAAATGTAGTATCTGCATCAGTAAAAAGATATATAAATTTTTACTTATAGAGATTAAATTGATCTCGAAATATAACTCTCCAAAAAAGTACTCTATGAAAAAGCGACAGTACCAAATTTTTTCTTTTTTTTAATAAATTCTGCAGTTTTTCTACAGGAGACATCTTTTGGAAAATTTATATATATGATCGTATGTATAAATATATATTGTATATAACTATTTTATTTCAAACGCGGAAGCTATAAGTGCAGCTAAAACAAACAGATCTACGCACCGTGCGTTTGTATAACATCGTGATGACATAATCCTTAAGTTTACACAGACTTAATTATAGACTAAGTAGCACTTCTTTAATATCTGATAAAATTACGTCGGTATGTATTGTAACAACAATAAACGTACGAGTAGGTACATAAGCTCGTTTTCGATTTGAGAGCTTCGCGAAAATCCAATCGCGCAAGCCGGTAAGTATCATTTCGCAAGTACAAACAAAGTCATTTCCTTTTTTCTTATATCTCACAATCGCAATAACAATAGATTTCCCTTTTCCTCGCTTGAAATTGTTTGAACTTGCAAAATAACCGCATTCTGTAAAGATTCACAGGCCTTTCTTTTTGTATTATTACATACAATTCGAAATATTACAATTTTTCTTAAATAACTATCTTCTTACTGACATAACTTCAGTGATAGTTGAATTATTTTGTCCTTAACCCTTAAACTGCCGGGATTTGAGATATTAAACCGTCCTTTAAAAGTGGCCAAATTTGTGTCTTGTATCATGTATCAATTATATACAAAGTTCATATCATAGGCCGAGCCGATATATCGGCTTCCCGGCAGCTTAAGGTTAATTAAAGTACAATTGCATCTTAATTCTTATTTCTTATTAAAATTTGTAATTCGGAATCACACAATTAATCCTTCACAATCATGCTTCGTATCAATAGGTCGTCAATTCTTCAATAAAGTTCTTTCTTTTTAAGTTGCTTTTTTTATAACAACCGTCTTGCATCTAATGAAGATATTAATAAAACGTCATCATAAAAAATTCGAATCAAAAGAAATATCCTATCTGTGCCTATTAAAAGTTCAATCGGTTTTTTGTAATAATACAAAATTCATATTTAAAAAATACTAACGATTTACTCAATACGTTAATTCCTTTTTTATCTATTAAATTTTGTACAATTGTTAATCTCATATCCAACGAACGTTACGATAAAGTATAAAAGAAAGGCCTGTAGGAAGATGCGGTGTATCTGACTAGTTTAAAGTACGTGCATATTATGCATACATATATTCTTGCTGCTGCGATAGCGTGAGAGTGTTGTGCGAGGACAATTGTCACTTGCACATTACTCACAATTAACTCTATACTGCGCGAAGTACTTTAATTGTCTTCTGACCTATACGTAATTAAAGCGCACGATCCGAGATAATTGTGACGCATGGGCCTCTCCACATGGATTTCTCATAGTCGAGCAAGAGCTCATCATTGGAAAACGTAGCGTTGAAGTGCGAAAAAAGCGCCTTTTCTCCGATTACCTTGTTCTAAAATCGGAGATATTAAATGAGTGCGATACAACGTTTACTATCTTACATAACGATATTAATAGGCCTCATGAAACATTAATGACAGTGTCAACTTTTTATCTTCGTTCGAGACTTTAGAACTGCTTTTTCTCACAAGCTGCTTGGCGACACTCATGGTGCGCTCACCACGTTTTTTTTTTATCTCATCTTACTTTATTATCCCTGACCCTGTCCTCGTGTGCGGTTACTGTATTGTACTATAATGCTACTATAAAAGAGCCCGTTATCTTGCTACGTACAATTTTATTCGCGATCAATACGTGCGTTAATGAAGTATCTCTAATCAACTACGTGAACGAATAACAAATTGCATTGCATGGTTCAACTTTCGCTCAAATGCGCAAGTCCAGCTAAAAAGAAGTTTCGACGGATTCGCGATACATCCACGATTAGAAAAATAGAAAATCTACGCAACTTGCGTCTTCTCGTTGTCTCTAACTGTACGCAGCAATTTCGTCAAGTACGTCGCTTTCATCTCTCTTTGAGCAATCTTTGCGAACAAGTGAACGGAAATGTTTGCGACCGCGTTTTTGCGGAATTTTCGTTGATAGCGTCGAGAGAATTGTTCGGAAGAATATCTGTATGCACTTTCCACACGATATAAACGCAATAGCGCGTTCGAAAATTGTCACATTCTGAGACGACATTAATCCTTAATTAATCGTGTGCTGTGTGAATTAAAAATTGTAGGTTTATGATACATTTTATTTTTTTCTTTTTTTTCTTTTCTATTACTTGGTATTATATCAGAGTAATGTCATTTTAAATCTCTCTAATTAATTTCTAATTCAGTAGTACAATAAAAAAATGTGAATTTATCGAGTCTAAGTTGTATCAAAGCTAAATCGAGCGATTAACTAAGGATTAAATTAGGATATCTCTGTATCATTAATAAAGAAATCTAGAAAATGTAGTTTTAAAAAACTTTTGCTTATCCTTGCAAGAATGGCAAAAAAATTTTTCTCACAATTAAACGAGAATTTAGCGAAAAATTGTGCTGTGAAAAAATGCCTAACTGAAACCAGCTATAGACGATCTATAATTTTTTAGAGTAAAAATCTGGCGCGTTTCATATACAATTTCTTTGCTGTATATTTCAATATATCTGGACATGTTCATATTGTATCTTTTTCTTAGTGTGTATATCGTTATTCTTTAATTTTTTCATATTATACGTATATAACATTTTAAATATAATGCTATCATGAATTTTGACGGATCTAGGAGCGTAGGAAAGAAAAATTGTATAACAAGATGTATAATATTTTAAAACATTTCATCTATGTGTATAAATTCTACTTTTTCCGAAAAAAATTATGTATTAAAGTTATATATTAAATTTTACTTTACATTTTTTTTAAATTTTGATTAGACTCTCAATAGTCATAATTCGATTTAATAATCAAATTATGAATAATAAGAGACACCGTTTTCCAAGAAGTAATCACTTTGTACAAAAATTTCATTTACCACTCTTTCATACTGTACACATATTTGCTTCTCTCTCTCTCTCTCTCTCTCTCTCTCTCTCTCTCTCTGCAAGGAAGAATAAATGTATTTTTCTTAGAACTTTGTAATGATTGTAACAAAATGTATCGCATACGACCATAAATCATTCGAAAAGATCATTAATTTGTTACATAAACGTGCAAAATGAAAGCGCGAATTTCCTAAAGTATCGGATTTCTTGGAAAGGAGAAGCCCTATTCTCTTAGTACATTGCGCCTGATTCTGTATCATAGATCGTCTGAAGTGGGCTTAATTTAATTATTTTTCGACAGCAATAGGCTGTCTGTCAATCTGGCCATATATATATACATACATACACACACAAACACATATATACATATATATATATGCCCGTTATACATATACATAACATATTCATATATCTATATACTTATTTTAACTTATTTTAACCAATCGCGTTGAAATTATATATATAATATAAAAAAAATAACGCAGTACTGGTACATACTTTGGTGAACGAGAACGCCAATCTGACATTCTCGTTGCTCGAACGTATCGTGCCGCATATGCATATCGCGTCGCTATATAGCATAATCAAACAAGAAGATATCAGCTTGGGCGAAGGAATAAAAAATGTCTCCTTAAAAAAATTTCCTTAAAGGCTCTGCGAGTTACTTCCTGTATATTCTATTATTTTTTGTACAAATGCTATGTGCATAAAACTTTTTCTCAATAATAGCCATTTAAGGAAACGTCTTTAAATGTAAGAACTCACTGAAGAGCTCTTTTAATAAGAAGTGAATTTCTTCAAGCTTTCCTGAATTTTTTTCCATTAACCTTAAGCCAATAATCTTCCTTTTTACTTAAACCCAGTCTTGTTTTCGAAGCAAATATGAAACATTCCTTTTCAAAAAGAAAGTCTCTTAAATCTCTTCGTATTTTAGTAAGCGAACTTCATTCCCCCCTCTCAGGTTATGAAAGATCGCTGCTCAGCTCAGTCGATTCGCACGTGAGTGTCGCAATTATATTCAAGCATATAACATCTCAGTTTCTCGCATGCACCGCTGTATATACCACAATTTTACAGTGTAGCACTTACTTTGTCCGTTTACGAAGGTGGCAATGAACACCGTCGCGAAAAAGAGGAGAACAATGAGATGATGGTGCATCTCTCTCCTCACCTCACTGAACTGTACTTGGCACAACCGTCACCTCTGCGTACTGCTCGTCCGACTGACTTGTCGCTGCCTGTGGCAGTGACGGTGGCATCTTCTCGAGTCGCACATACGACGGTCCTGCTGAGGGAGGTGATAAATTCGCGATAGTGATATAACTAGAGTTCAAATCTTTTCCCTCTGTCGTTGACCAAGACGATGTAGGGTGCACAGTGTTATCTTTGTTGTCACCTTCAACGACATCCTCCGTCACGTTCGCGAGTGGCTCCGCTTTCTCTTGTTGCTCCTGCGACTGTGTCTCGTGCGCGGAGCTCGTAAGATTGTACGAAGTTCCACTCGTTGTAGAACTGTGCGGATCGTGGAACGTTTTCTGCTGTAAAGATTCTTGATCTGTTTCTGTAACCGGCATCGTCATTCCCTCAGGAATTATCGATGCAAAGATATATTTTGGACTCGCTAAAGTCAAGCCGGTATTGGCGGGGAAAGTTTGCGGGAATGACATGTATTCTTTCTTGCACAAATTCTGATTATCTTTAACTTTAAAGGTGCCACACATCAGATTGCTGTTCCTGGCTTGTATATGTTTAGGTATACTAGAAGGCGATTCAGGTATTTCATCTATTAGACCTGCCTGAACATATGGCGTCGTCATTGTTGTCTTCTCGGGGTTAATGTGAGATGTCAAGAGTTTCTTGTTCAACTCGATGATGGATCGCATCTTGTCCAGTTCGTCGATTGTTTGCTTCTGCTTCTCCTTTTCAAATTCATCTTCAAATTTAATCGATATCAAAGCATCACCACTGTCGTCGCCGCTGTCATTGTTGCTATCGCTGCCATGGTTACCGTCATTGTTGTCGTCACTGTCTTTGCTGCTATCGCCATCGTCGCTGTTGGCATTCTTCCGTGGTATTAGGCTCGGATTACTCAATAACATCTCCGAAGAGGACGGCATACTGATATAGTTTGCGCTAGACCAGCCGTGTTGCGATGGCGAATAACTCTTCGTGTTATCTGTTAAATTAGGCGTGGACCGTGCTAATGATACAGTTTCTTCAGAAGTCGGCTCACCGGAATCGCCAACTTTGACGTATGATTCCCAGCAAGGCGTGACCTCTGATAATAACGAAGCTGGTACACGTGTAGTACTTCTCTGTCGCAGATGTGTCAATTCACGGACAGGTTGACTCTTTAATTTGTCAGATGGCGTATGAACTGCATCCACCTCAGTGCCACTATCACTGCAAACCTGGGATTCTGCCGTGAGAGAAGACGTAACGGATTCTTGGCCACTAGAACAGCCGCTCGAATCGGCGGATGGTTGCCGTATATGTGGTTCGCTTATCTTGTCAAGCAATTTCTACGCAAACAAAATAGAGCTTACGTTAGCGTACTGTATTTTTGTAGTTGTGTCGTATTTGTGCTTCAATAAATAATCGTAACATATAAAAAAAAAAGCATGAGATAGAGATATCTCACCATATCTGATGGAGTACTGGCAAGTCCAGGTGGTAGTTTGACTTCGACATCTCGCATAGCTCGACATTTTATCCACATTCTGTAAGAAAAATAGCACAAAATGTGTTGAAGAATAAAGTTAGAATAGCTGTAATTAAATGAAAATTCTTTTTTTATGGAAAGTTTTATATAAATAAATTTATACATTTACATAGAGAAATGCTGAAAAACAAAAATTTCTTTACCTCTTGAACATGTACACGAAGCACACGATGCATGCTCCGAAGCTAACGACGCCAACTATCCATATAACAACTAATGCGACGTATGATAAACCTGTTATATGAAAAATATACATTCGCTAATTAGAATAAGTTGTTTGATAATATCCGCGTTAAATGTGTATATGTGATACTATCGCATCTGTAGAATCAAAGTAAAGAAAATCACACAATGATAAAAAAAATTAATACTATACTGAAGATTGTAGGGAACATGTTTCTGAAACAATAAGAAATAGATGAAGAAAGATCCGGCTTGATCTTGCGAGTTGTATAAACCGGTTATGCAATTTGTATCTAAAAAAAACTGTAGTCATCATTATTACTTTTTATTATAAAAAGATATTAAAAGTTCAACGTTGAATGTTCTCAATGTTAGATGTCGTCATTTATACTCACAAATATTAATATGCCATATATGTGTATATGTAAGTTATAACAAAAGTGCTCAATTTTATAAGCAAACGTGTTCTCATAAAATTAAATTAGCAGCAATTTGTGTGTGTCGTGTTTGCTTTTTTAATAATATAATAATAATAATAGACTAAAATACCATTATTATAACAATTTCCCTCCCCAAAGTCGGACCACGATCCTTTCAAAACTTCACCGTTAAGATTGGTGTTAATAGCTCTAACTCGGAATCTGTGCTTCTGCTCTCGATGCTCGACGTTTTTGCAGTCGGGAATGGGCAATTGCACTTCTGCAATATAAACAAATAATATCAAAATTGAATTTTCGTATTATTTCTTCTATAACCATCATATTTTTTACTCTCCTTTCATTTCTTATTTCACGTAACTATTACATTTAGCACTATATCATTCAACGTAAATAAAATTAAGTTGAATAGAAAAATAAAATAATTCAAGAAAATTGAATTTTATTTGAAAGGATTATTTTTCTTATTATAGTTTAATTTAATTTTATCTCAGAAATTTTCTCAATTTTTTTCTATTAAGGAAAGATTCTTAAATTTTTCTATTAAAGACAGTCTCACCTGTTCTCGTAACGTTCTGAATCAAGCCATTTCCATACTCTATTTCGTAATACATGTGCTCTATTGGACCGGCTGGTTCTTGTGGTGGTTCCCACTGGATGATCACTTGGCTGGAGTTTACAAAGCGTACTAAAGGAATCATGATTTTGCCAGGCACGCCAATTCTCGTGAAATTATCTATCATCGATGACTTTTCACTGCACTGAACGGTACAAGCGGAAACACTAATAAAATATTTCGTATACGGCTTTAAACCCATCAGTTTGATGTAATCCTTATCATCCACTCTAATGACTTGATCATTATAGTAAACTTCATAATATCTGAGCACACCGTTCATCGCCGTCGGCTTTTTCCATGAGATATACATTGTCGTGTTGGACAAGTCAGTGATTCTCACGTTTGCCGGTGGGGTGCTGGGCGCCGCTTCGAGAGTGGTATTATACAGGGGATCACTACGCAGACCCTCACCGCTCTTCGTCAGCACCGCGACACTCAGCATGTACGTAGTGTAGGGCTTCAGGTTATCGACAATGCCATGTATCGTATGTGCGTCCGCCTTGATGGTACTATTAAACATGGGACCGTTACAGTTGACATTCATTGGTGATACTATGGGACAGTAGTAGATATTGAATCCTTCAATTATCCCAATGCGATCTGAACAATCAGGCTTCCAACCGACTTCGATAAAGTGCGATCCAATGCGATTGATCCAAACAGACTTCATTTTGCCGAGCACCTTATTATGAATTACCGTACATGACGACCATATCATGCCGCTGCTACCTCTCTCAGTATTGACGGAGATTGCAAATTGGTATACCTTGGACGGATTCGGTACTGTTATGTTGTAGATCATAGTATTTTTAGGCACGTGCACCCAGTCCAAGTAACCCTGCAAACATATCATTTAACGCTGAGTGTAAACTTTTATGTGAAATAAAACTTTTATGTGAAATATGCTTTTATTTGTGAACAAAATTATTTTTCGAATAATGTGAAAGAAAATATGGATACATACGGTACACTGATAAGGACGATCACGTTCATTGTCGCACCAAAAGATCGTGTAATTCTTGATGTTATAATCTTCGAACGGTGGCTTCCAAGATAATTCATACAATCCATTTTCGAAAGCAATTTTCGTGAACGCTATTGGTTCATGTGGTACTAAGAACAAAATAATGTATTAAATTGTTAGGTAGATACTTGAATCTTTCTATCCTCTCTCTTAACATCTATCTTCTTATTATACTCACTTTCTTTCTGATTTGGTACGTATATTCTCGCACGGCTGTTGTTAGCTCCGACTTCATTCGTTGAAACGATCTCGAACAGGTAACTATTGAGGCTGATTCCTTTCAATTTGGCATATGTCCTAGTTGTTTCACTTGGTGTAAGCGCAACTTTCTGGCCATTTTCCTCCACGTGAATAATTTGATACTTAAAATTATCGCCATTTTCTTGATTCTGTGGTATCGCTTGCCAGTACAAATATACGTCCCTGTTTCCATTATTTTCAGCAATTTCGAAGCTACCGATGTCAGTTCGCGGTGCAGCACTAGGTACTAAAGTTAAATCAAATAAAATTTAATAGAAACAGATAGATGTTATCTGTTAATTAGTCATAGCCAAATTTGTAATACGTATTTATATCGATTATAGTTATATCAAATAAATAACAAAAACAACAGATTCTTTTCCTAATTCATTAATTTACTTACATTTTGATGACGTTCTGAATGTAACAACACTAAATTCACTCCATCGGTCCGATCTTACAGCTGTCGAGCTTTTTAAATAAATTCGAACATCATATACTGTGTTAGCGTACTCTAATCCGGTAAGATTGTAAAGCCATTGCTCTCTATTCTTAGGATGCGTAATATTTATGACCTATAGACAAGGGGAGAATAAGTTTGAATCAAGATTATTATTGTTTATCACAAAATTGATAACTCTATTCAATAAGTGCGACATCGACAAATTATCTAATAAAATAAAAAACTTGAATCAATACGATCATACCTTCCAATCTTTTTCATGATCCCATTGATGTTGATACATAATTTTATGATGAACACCAACTGGAAATGTCGCCATTGGAAAGGGGAGTTCCCAATGCAACAGTGCACTTTCCGATGTTTTGTTTATTAAGGTAAGATTGTAAGGTTTAGCCGGAATAACTGAAAAAAATAATTCTCAATGTTAAGTATACAGAGCACATAAAAACTGTACATTTCTCATTACAAGAGATTTTTATGAGGAGAAATAAATATAATATAGTAATCTATATAAGATTTACATACCATTAGGATAATGCGGGACACGATATGTAAAGTTGAGTTCCCCAAAAGGATTAGATACTTTCAATATGAAAATATAAACTGCATACGGTTGCCTATATATTGGATCGGAATATATATCCCACGTGCATGAATTCTCTTCTGTTGTTGCAAGTGGACAGTAATACATTGCTCCTGATCTTCCAGATAATTGGAACATTAAATCGTATTTTGTATGGACGAAATTTTGTTCTGGCTCCCATGTGCAATTAAAGCTTTCCCAATTATAGGAAACACAGTCAAAATGTTTAGGTTTTTGAGGTGGATCTGTCGTGAAACAAAACAAGTAAAATAAAATAAAATATTTCACATAAAAAAATGTATTGTTTTTTAAACTACATAAATAATTTTTAAATATAGTTTTTGATATTCGCTAAATAGTTGATAACAGATATTCAAAATTGTGTTTATAAACGTTTATAAACATGTTTATAAACATTGCATATCACGATCAATTCTATTAGTTTCTATCGATACAAATTTTCAATTTTTATCGCTTTTGAGGTATTGTGCAGATATTTTATATGTATCATATTAAAATTAAAATCTATTACATAAATAGAAATGTAACATAAATATCGATACTACAAATAAGTAAATTTCTACGAGGGAAGTGATTTGATTAACTCTTAATATTATATTGTATAGTATCCGCTTTCTAGTTATCTTTATTGTCGATGATAAAACGATTTCTAAGACGCATGCATGTCAAACGATTTACTCGTAACTAATGAAAAGAGAATCAATGCACTGTACTGTCTCTGCAAAATATCATCGGGTCATATTGATAAGAATAAATGTAACTTCTATTGGATATGTAGATAGCTATATTTCAAATACGTGTGATAATTATAAAAAATAAGATGTATATGTTTCTCGATACCCAAATTCTTCAGATTACAAAAAGTATCTTTTTTTTAATAGATTATAAACTCTTTAATAGAATAGCACATACATCAGATATCTTAGAACTGATAATACAACTAAAGAACTGACAAAAAATAAGACGAAAATGTAAAATAAAATTTATTTTATGAGATTTTGTGTGAAAAAATTATATTTTAATTATTTTAACTTATTTTTTCGCGAGAAGTCGTGTCTTTCTTGATTGTTCCATCAGTTTAAAGACCCGTTAATACAATGGAATATACACAGATAATATAATTAAAATAAGTATAATTACTTACATCCAACTACAACTTTATTGAGACAAACTGCTATATAGTCGTTTTCCTTTACTTGCAACTTGCAATTGTACATATCGTCGGAGGGTGGTGGTGTTTTGATAAACAGCTCTATCGTAGTTTCATTAATTACCGTGACGAATTCCGACTTCAGTTCTTGATTATTACGAAAGAATCGGAGATTTCCTGCATCTTTATTAGGATAGTCACGTTTTACGATAGTGTCATTCAATAGACACAGCATACTGAGTGGTTTACCATGTTGGATAATAATATCACCTTGTGGCCAAGTCCCTACGAATAGCATTAAGAACAAGATGAAATTTTATAGTCTTGTTATTTGAAATAGAAAGTACAAGATACTTCAATTATAAAAATTCAGATTATAAGCAAACTCTCTTTATAAGTAAATAAAATAATTAAACCAAAATTTATATATGCTAGACAAATTTGCATTATGAATACTATAAAACGTAAAATGAAGCTATCATAAGAATACACAGAGTTAGGTCACAATTTCAATGTAAACTGCACAGCTCGAGTATTAAATATAGATATATACATTTAGCTCGACAGAATTCCAAAAGGAGAGATAAGACATGTGTTTTATTTATAATCCTAACGCACCAGTGGTACGCATGCGAGAGAAATAGAAAACGGCTTTTATTTCTGCTCTATAATACGTAAACACGTACATTCTAATATATCTCAAAATGTGCATTACGAGTGTATTCCATTTGACGCTCACAGCGCTTATAAGCATCACTTTGTCTTTGATAAACTATAAAAAGAATGAAATTTCAAGAGCGCTACAAGCAGCAAATGAAACGCAGCCTATGCAGTATGAATATAATGAAAACAAAATCATGCCAATTTAAATATCAATCCAAATAGCTCACAAATAATTTACTAATCGTTAATATCAAAATTGAGAATACAATGTGTTTTACGAGTATATATTTGATTGTATTTATATACAGAGATATATTTAAACGAAACTTACATCCCGGTGTGCTTAATCCAACTGAGCAAGTGCGAGCTGAACACTGCGTCACACAAAATAGGCAAACTAAGAAAGGAAAATAAGTTCGCCATCTCCTCCATGAAGAATTTGTTATCCAGTCGGTGGTTATTAATCCTAACATTTGATTAATGAATACGAGAATGTATTTTGTTATCGAGAGTGCATCCGCTGCATGAGAATATCTCATCGCGTCCCTCTTTCGCGTGTAACTATGATGATTTCGGTGATTCATTACACTTGTATCACATTCGTGATTACAAGGGGCAGCGGGACAAGCAAATTCTTTTTGCGCCGAACACAGCTCAGTTGAACGGGCATTGTAAGATAATAAAGTGTCCTGTAAGAGATGAACCGCACTATTGGACCCGTTTTCCAACGTTGTGATGATATCCTTTTCAAACAGGACGGCATTAGAGGCATTTACATCGCAGTATGTTGCAAAACTGTGGCAAGCGACAGAAGACGACTCCGATGTGCCGGACACATCCAGCGTAGATCGACATCCAGCATGTCTCGACGTAGCGTTTGGTCTGCGAGATGGACACCGATCCATTTCTCCAGACACTCTTATCGATCGGGTATCGATTGAAGGCATTTTGCACTTCCGTCACTGAAAGATAAATAGAGATTCAATGAAAATAAATCTTAAAACCTTACAAAATATTAATATATATATAACTATTATTAACAATATATTAAAGAAGTTAATAAAAAAATTCTCTTGAAAAATCGAACAATAAATCTTCTACAAATGTAAAAAAAATTGTGTTTATTATGGTAAGATTTTTGTCATTTCAATTAATTCCAACAAAATTGGATCACTAAATATTAAAATAACAATGTTGTAATATTGAGTTCGTTCGTTACGTTGACAAAAATTAACGAGAACAGAGAGACAGTCGTTGCTAGTGAACCGTATTCGAGTTAGGACCCAACTGACTGACTATCAGTGGTCTAGGAAATACACGAGGAATGTAGGGGGAAGAAAATACATGAGCAAATTCGTAACACGTGGAGAATGGTGTCCTTCTAATAAGTCGTTATTATATTTCATCACGTATCGCGGCGATAATGTAAACACAGTCTCGTGACGATCAATATCTGCATACGAGAAATCTGGTCGAGATATATAATTACAGATTGTATATTCTGATGTTCTGAAAACCGAATAAAGATCTGGATTTTTAAAAAATATTCGGAGTTTTGAAAACATTGAGCTCCAGTGAAAGACAGCTGTAATGTATTGTGTTTATGTTAATAAAAGCAACATTTTTATTATCAGTATAAAATGTCTATATACGTATATATCTACATAAAATATATATGTATATATATACATATATATAATACATATATGAAAAAATATATATATACAGATATATATAATTTATTATTTGTTTCGTTTAGTTTCTCACTTTGTTGGAAGATCGTTGAAAATCTCAAGACTTGCTATCCTTGTAGAAAATATCAATAAAAAGAATAAAAATTATATATAGCATAATGCCTTTTATCCCGTACAGACCCAGTTTCCTCAACGTTTTCAAATGTTTCTTCTTTAAACGATAACAATATTTATACTTTTTATTTGTTGGATTTATATTTCTTTGAATTCACAAAGATGCTTCTTTGATAAAAAAAAAAAAAGAACTTTGCATAAAATCAGATTTTTATTTTCCACTCATTTTAGCTCCATGATATCATATATTTAGAAATTCAAAACATTTTCGATAAAGATTTATAATAATATATTTTTTATTTTTACCACGTTTAAAATTGTAAAATATGTGTTAATTATTTTCCATATATCTTCGTTATTAAAACTTATTTCTTGTTTATTATATGTTAATATATATTAAATATGGATATTTAATAAATAAATAATGTTTTAACGATAATTTAATAAATATGGCTTTTATAAATGTTTACGTTTTTCGACTAATTTCAAAGGTTGAAATAAAAATAGAATTTTGATTTAGGATCTTATTAGAATTAGAATTATATTAGTTATAATTGCAGCAAAATTATATTACAACTTTTTATATATTAAGGTATATATAGTATATATGATGCTAAAGATTAGAAAGCTGTAATAAATAACTATTCATATTTTCATTAAAAAAACCAAATTTACTAAAAAAAAATCTAACATTAAAAAATAATATATAAAAAAATTATAATAGAATTTTGAGTAAAAAAAAAACAAGTTTCGATAACATTCAAAATCATTAATCACAAAATAAATTATTCATAATGTGCATTGCATAACACGCACGATAGGAAACAACATTTCCACAAAATATGCAAATGACTCTACGACACGTTATTATCGACGTGAGTGTAACAAGAAAATTCATCGTTACCTCTTTTCAACACCAAATCTTTATTTTTTCTATTTCTGAATAATAATAACTTCATAAAGAAAAAGAAAATGTTTCTGCTAGCATAAAGCAATATATTTTTTCTACAGTGATAAATGTGCAATGTTCTTACAAACGAATCAACTTTCACATATAATAATTATTTTATACAATAATATACATATCTTAATTCAATTTCTAATTTTCCTAGAAAAATTAAATACGCCACGAGAACGATTCTGTGAAAAATCAATTTGCCAATTTGATACGAATGCAAAAAAGTTTGTAGTATTATTACAAGAAATAATTTTCTCTCATAATCCACATTAAACTCTTAATCGAGAAGATTCATTTGTCAAATGTGTAATCTATATTAATCTTTCATTAGAAAAGTTTCATTCGTAAGTATTATAATCCAGACTAATCTCTTAATGGAAAATGTTTGTAGAGAGTGGGACGTGAAATGAAAATTTACTCGAGATCATATTTCTCGCTTTTTTCGTGCTGCGCACCTTCAACATCCGCATTACGATCGCGGTCGTTCCGCCCACGACGATAACAGGTGCACAATCATATTGCGGCACACCGAATATGTGTCACAAACTGGAATCCGGTCCGGAACTGATAACGATAGGAAGAACTTTTTTTTGCATTTATGTAGACTGTTTTCTGTTCCTCTACCAGACCGCACTAGAACTCTCTTTCTCGCTTTCGACAAATATCAAACATACAGTGGCGTGCAAAGTTTCCGGCCAGTGACATTTTGTTTACTTTAATTTATAAAACAAAACAGTTAAATTTTAAAATTTATCGTCAGATGTTAGTACAAGATTCGTTACCCACATTTTTTTTGTACTAACACCCGATAATAATGAAATTTTATCAGGATTTCTTTTTTTTTTTATAAATTGGAATACAAAATGTCACTGGCTGGAAACTTTTGCAAGCCACCGTATAGTTATATATCTCACTTTTAAGTTTCAAAAGTGTACCCTAGTTCAGCCGCAGAAAACAGATCTACGGTTTGCGCTGGAAAAAAGAACGCGGCCGCGCGTTTCTCAGTGTGCGAGAACCTTCAGCGTGCAACGAGCCTCGCGCGGTAATTTTTCCGTGCTCGCGATGGAATTCAACGGCAATCACGTAAAAAGAAAAAGAAAGAGAGGCGGATCGATATCCCGTCGCGAAAACAACATCGGAGTCGTATCTGCAGGGTTCAGTTCAGAAGCTAGGCGAAATCAAGGAACGGTATCGTGTGTGTGTGTGACTTTATCGCGCCGATAAATCGATCGCCACGCCACTTCGCGCATCGCTCGCGTTCTGTTCTCGCGATCGGTTTTATCCGCCGTTGAGCCGCAGGGCAAATCGCAGAATAATAAAGAAAATTGACGGAGAGCCGAGTCTTCGTCTTAACCGCGTCTCGCGCCGTGATTACGATTCGTTTGCTACTCGTATTGTTCCCGCTTCAATCGATCAATCGCGTCGCAATACGAATGAGAGAAATCTGTGTGAATCGTACGCGTTGCAATTTTTGAATCCAGAAAGATGTGTGTCTGCTGAAAACTAGTGAGTTTAATCGTCATGTTTTCAAACCTCGGAAAATTACCGGCATTTTCTCATTAAGGCTTGGATTAATCGCTTTAATTGGAAAAGCAGTCGTCGGTATTTAAATTTAATAAAGTTTAAAATATTTCAACATCTTAAAACACTGACGAGAAAAATTGTTTATTTATAAGTTAAACATATTATACACTTAAAATGTATAACATTATTGAATAAAAAAAAAACAGAAATAAAAGAACACGATTAACTAAATTATAATCGAATTAAAATTAGTCAAATGAACCATTCTTTTTTTCAGTGAAAAGGTAACATTAAACGGAGAATTTGCTTAATTATTTATTTTTAGATAAAAAATTACTCGTTTTGTTGGATTGCGCCAATCATTTTTAGAACTGATTGCAATGCAAATTCGATGTTGTAGTACTTCTTATTATCGTATAACGATTCTCATAAACGATCGGTCGCATGTATATAACGTAACGCGCGCGGTAGCGGCGAATAGGGAGAGTTGATAAGACAATTATAAGGAGGCTCTGTGTGTACTCTCGTAATTAAATTTTATTATCGTCAAATTTATTGACACTTTCGTGACCGATGACGTCGTATTACGTTTCTGTTATCAAAGCCCACGAGGCAATTGACGTAATACCACATCTTTCGTGAACTTAAGCCGACGATAAGAGGCCCGGCCATCGCGTGTATATCAAGAACATACAATTTTATCGAACTTATTCGGTCGCGGTGATTCCCGCGGTCTAGAAATCCTCAAGTAACACATTGGACGCCATACGTTTGTTGATCTGCCATATCTTTCGGTGAACTTCCCTTACGATAGAATGATATAGGTGCATAAGATAAGATGAGATACCCACACATCTCATTCTATCTTATATGCATCTTTCTCATTCTATTATAGCTATACATCCCTCATAAACACGCATATTTTTATTTTAATTACTTCGTAGGCACTCCGAGTCCTTTTTGTCCAGTCCAAATTTTTTATTCTAGGCTTTCAAAACATCTAGAAAAATTCAGACTTACTTTTCAACATTCCTGTTATACATTGTCAATAATTATTTAATACAAATATAAAAATCTTTATTTAATAAAAATTGAAACTTGTACCAAGAAATATATAAGAATGAAGTTTTTATTGATAAAAGACTTAATGTACGAAAGCAAGGTACTGACGAAATATACGGTGAACAATCGGAAGTTGCTTAAACAGTATCCAATTTCTTACTTGAGGATCTCTACCGCAGTCGAGGCGCCACGTCGACCGTGCACGATATGTGTCGTGAAAGACGGATTATGAAATGAAGATAAGTTTTCCTCCGGAAACCGGTGTTCTTGGAAAACGCGCGAGATGCATCGGCCATCGTACATACATTTCGCAAATAGCGCAAATTGGATTAAGAGACACGGAGAGTGGCGTCCGCTCGGCGGAACTCGCGCGGACGCTTTCCGAGGAAAGCAAGCAGACGCGCAACCGTCCTGCCGCCGTGTATTTATATCCCCCCGAGAGCGCTCGCGGAATGACAAATTCCTCTAAAAAAAGAAAAAAAAAGCCATCTCCGAGGAGGCGAAGAGGGCGGTTCGCGGGATTCCACTTTTCGCGACTGGTCCGCGCGGCTGG